TGAGGGAGGAGGGGCCGGGGGCCTGGACTCCGGGATCTGAGGGAGGAGTTGGGGACCAGGACTGAGGGAGGAGGGGCTGGGGGCCAGGACTCCCGGGTCTGAGGGAGGAGGGGCCGGGGGCCTGGACTCCGGGATCTGAGGGAGGAGTTGGGGACCAGGACTGAGGGAGGAGGGGTTGGGGGCCAGGACTCCCGGGTCTGAGGGAGGAGGGGCTGGGGGCCTGGACTCCTGGGTCTGAGGGAGGAGGGGCTGGGGGCCTGGACTCCTGGGTCTGAGGGAGGAGGGGCTGAGGGTCTGGATTCCTGGGTTGAGGGAGGAGGGGCCGGGGGCCTGGACTCCGGGATCTGAGGGAGGAGTTGGGGACCAGGACTGAGGGAGGAGGGGCTGGGGGCAGGACTCCTGGGTCTGTGGGAGGTGGGCTGGGGTTCTGGATTCCTGGGTGTCAGGGAGGAGGGCCTGAGGGTCTGGGCTCCAGGGTCCTGAATCCCAGCCCCTCCCCCAGGAGCGCCTGGACCATGTTGCTGAGCGCCTACTGGCACGGCCTGCACCCTGGCTACTACCTAAGCTTCCTGACCATCCCGCTGTGCCTGGCGGCCGAGGCCCGGCTGGAGTCGGCCCTGCGCGGGAGGCTCAGTCCCGGGGGCCAGAAGGCGTGGGACTGGGTGCACTGGTTCCTGAAGATGCGCGCCTACGACTACATGTGCATGGGCTTCGTGCTGCTGTCCCTGGGCGACACCATCCGGTACTGGGCCTCCGTCTACTTCTGCATGCACATCCTGGCCTTGGCCGCGCTGCTGCTGGGGCTGGTTCTGGGCGGGGGCGGCCCCGGCCGGAGGAAGGCCGCGCCCGCCCCCTCGGCCGCCAGACTGGCCCCAGAAAAGCTCCGGGAGGAATAGGCTGCCGCGACGCTCTTTGCCAGTCTGTCCAGCCACCAAGCTTTTTGCCTGGGAATCCTGTGACCCCGGCCGCTGTCCCCTTTCCCAGAAAGATTGCCCGACTGGCCAGGGGCCCGGAGAGGATTCCCATCTCCTCGGCCGTGCCCTGCGCCCGACGGAGCCCGGCTGCGGCCCTCTGCTTCCCCGCCCTCTGCCCGGAGGGCTCTGGAAGGGCCGCGCGCCCTCTCCCCGCCGGAGGTCGCAGGGCCACGTCTTCTGGTGCAGATGCGTGTGTGGCTCCAGGGCGTGGGGTAGGAGCTTCTGGCAGCGGGGACCCGCCTCCCTGTGGCTTTCATCCCGCTCTGACCAGTGTTTCAGACCCGGAAGGAAACATAACCCTCCCGTTTCATAGAGGGGAAACTGAGGCACGAAGGAGCAGGCCTGTGGACATTTTTGCAGCTTTCATCTGAGCCACCTCAGGGTCCCAGCGCACCTGTCACTCTCTTGTCGTTCTCTGGCCTGAGACACGGTCAGAATGTGTGAGCCTCCCCCAATAAAGTGTTTCGCAAAGACCGACCGTGTCTGTGCCTGATCGCCGGCGTGGGGCTCGCCGAGCCGGGCTTCCCGGAACCGCGCTGGCGTCCGCGTTTGTTCCCAGCAGCAGCCCTGATGCTGAAGTGTCCCCCTCCTCACCGCCACCTGCTGGCCAGGTGCGGACCTGCCGGGGTCCCTTCCTTCCCCGGGGCAGGCCCCGCCCAGCCGGCCGCTAGAGACGGAAACACAGCTGCACCTGGGGCCATGGAAGAAGGCCCGACGTGGGAACCGGATGCCTGGGGCTCCTCTGGAGGGTGGCCGGCACCCCGGGGGGCCCGAGCAGGTGGGGGAGTGGGGACCAGGGTCCAGCCCCTCAAGCTGGCGGGAGTCCTGGGGGAGGTAGGCAATCTGGACTCCAGAGTGCAGAGGGCAGAAGGGGGACGGTTTCGATTCCTGGCTTTCTGGGTGGGGGAAGGGAACCAGGGCCTAGGACTCCTGCGTTCTGGGGAGGGTCTGGAGGTCCAGACTCCAGTCTCAGTGGGGGGTGGGGAGGGGGCCAGGGTAGCAAACTCCCGAATTAGAGGGAAAAGAAAGTTGAAGAATGGGCTCCTCAGCCCTTGGGGGGGGCACATTTGGTTGCTTGCAGAGGGGCCCTGGTGCCTGGACTCCCAGATCTGAGGGAGGAGGGGCCGGGGGCCTGGACTCCGGGGTCCGAGGGAGGAGGGGCCGGGGGTCCGGACTCCTGGGTCCGAGGGAGGAGGGGCTGGGGGCCTGGACCCCTGGGTCTGAGGGAGGAGGGGCTGGGGGCCTGGACCCCTGGGTCTGAGGGAGGAGGGGCTGGGGGCTGGGAGTCCTGCGCCCTCCTAGCTCCGCCCCTCCCCTGCCCCAGGCCCGTCACTCTCCTCCGTGCTGAATGAGCTCCCCAGTGCTGCTACCCTTCGGTACCGAGGACCCGGGATTCTCCCCTGGGGGTCATCGAGGGAGGAGGGAGAAGATGGAGAGAGCAACATCCAGGCCTTGGCAGAAGCCGCCGAAAAGGAGCTGGAGCAACCCATGCCCTCCCGGGAGCTTCCCTGGCCCATGCAGGCCCGCCGGGCCCACAGGTGAGGCTCGCCTCCTGCTCCCCACCCAGCTGTGGGCCAAGTCGACCGCAGGGCCCTCTGCCTCCCCTGCTGTGTCCCGCCTCCCCGACTCAGGACTCTCTCTTCTCTGTGTGTCCCTCTCCGCTCTATGTGTGTCTGTGAGTCTGTCTCCTGCTTGTTGAAGTTTGTCACTCCTCCTTTCCCTGCCGCGACGGAGCTGGGCGGGCTGGGGAACGATGCTTGGTCAACACAGGCTCCCCGCGCTGCCCGCAGTACAGCCTTTCTGTGAAGCCTCCCCTCGGCCTGCCTGGGTAAAGCTCAGAGAAATACGGGTGTTTCCCCAAAGCAAAGTGCCTGCACTCGAACTTTTGGAAGGTGTGCGTGTGTCATGCATTTCTAGCCAGGGCGGCACAAATCAGAGGCAGGGGCCAGGCCCATCTGAGGACGGGGTCGTGCGTCTTGAAATTGTTCTGTGAACCCCATCCTTTCGGGTTTCTCTGGACGTCCCGTGACATGGGCGCGCTTGATGAAATCTTGGGCCGCTGGCGAGCAAACTCAGCCTCCAGCCCCTCTCCTCGCCCTGGAGGCCGGGGATGGGACTACAAGTTCCAAGCCCCCCTCCCCCCTCCCACACCTGCGGCTGGTTTCCCTGGCTACCAGCCCCCACTCTTGGACGGGGTCCAAAAGTCACCTCACTTCCGCTCCAGAAGACACCTGGATCTCTTCACTTAAGGTCTTCCAAGGGTTTTAACGCTCTGTGCCAGGAACAGGGACAAAACCCAGACACGTATTCTTTCCTTCTTTTCACCTTTCCTTCATGAGATCTGCCTACAGCAAAGTGCAGGGAGCATCCTGCGCAGAGTACATCCCCCCCACCCAGCGAGCGGCCAGGCAGACTGCACCTGGGCCAGGGGCCTCTGCTCTGCGGCTCCCAGAAGCACCCCGCTTGCCGCCGTCACCCCCTCTCCCCACAATTATTCCTCCCAGACTTGTGTGATGATCACTTCCCCGTATGGTTCTGCCACCCGCGAGTGCGTACCTAAAGAGCCCGGCGTGAGCGCGCTTGGTCTGCAACTCGCAGATCCCTGCACCTCCGACTTCCGCCTGGCTTCCCGGGTGTGTCTCCTCTCGCTGTAGAGCGTCCCAGTTACCAATACGCTGCAGTTCACCTCCAGGTCCCACTGTTGGGGTGCTTCCACGTTTGGGGGGTGTCCATTGGGGATACTAGGCCCTCATTTTCTGTCTTTAAATTTGTTTCTGTACCAGGCAGACCCATGCCAGGGACAAAGTGGCCCAGGGATCGGACTCCAGGGAGGCCCAGTGGGCCCTGAGGCTTCGGCGGTCAAAGGAGAAGATACAGGAACGCCTGCACACCTTGCAGCCCTGGGCGTGGACGCTGAAGCGGATCGGGGGTGCGTCAGGGCTGAGGCAGCTGTCTTGGGGAGGGGCCCGGACCCCTGGGTCTGAGGGAGGAGGGGCTGGGGGCCCAGACCCCTGGGTCTGAGGGAGGAGGGGGCTGGGGGCCTGATCCTGGGTCTGAGGGAGGAGGGGCTGGGGGCCCGGACCCCTGGGTCTGAGGGAGGAGGGGCTGGGGGCCAGGACGCCTGGGTCTGAGGGAGGAGGGGCTGGGGGCCTGGACTCCTGGGTCTGAGGGAGGAGGGAGCTGAGGGTCAGGACTCAGAAAACACCCACAGGCCTCTGTGGCGCCTCCTGCAGGCCAGTTTGGAGCCGGTACCGAGTCCTACTTCTCCCTGCTCCGTTTTCTGCTGCTTCTCAACGTGCTGGCGTCCGTGCTGAGGGCCTGCATGATGCTGCTGCCCACCTGGCTGGAAGGGACGCCCCCGGGTCCCCCTGGCCCTGACACCTCCTCACCCTGTGGCTTCTACAACCCCAACCCCCAAGGCCTAGTCACCTTCCCCACCCATCTCTTCAGCTTGCTCTCAGGAGAGGTGAGTGCGTGGGTCCCTGGGAGACCCCCGTCTGAGTCTCGGTGCTCCCAGCCCCCATTGCCTAGCCCCACGGTGACCTTTCCCTCGACAGGGTTTTCTAGAATGGTCTCCTCTCTTCTATGGATTCTACCCACCCCGCCGACACCTAGCCGTCGCCTACCTGTGCTCTGTGTTTGTCATTGGCCTCCTGCACCTGGTGCTCATCCTCCATCGGTCAGTGACACCAGGGACCCTGGGGAGGGAGTCGTCGTGGTAGAAGCCTCCTCCCCAGGAATCCAGAGTCTTGAAGTTTGATCCTTTTCTCTCAGTTGGACATGAATCACATTTTAAAATGTTTCATTCGTGCTAAAGACCCATGACAAATTGGGAAGTTTCTCCTTCCTGTGGCTTTAGAGTCTACTGCAGGAATGTAAGAGCTTAACCACACAAATTAACTATATCTTTTCTGGAGGGGAGCATGCTTTATAGGAAACAAACAGGGGTGACTCACTCATTCTGGCAACAGATATTTATTAAGCTACTACTATGTGTCGGCTGCCATGGTTCTAGACACAAACAAAAACCAGACAGAGTCCTGTCCTTGGGGAGCTGACAGTTTACCAGGGGGAGACAGGTGATAAGCAGCCACAAATGAGTCAATGACATGGTGCGTTAGAAAGTGAGGGGGGCTCTGGACACACAGCAGGTGCGGGGGGCCGCCAGTGAGAATGTGCCAGGCTGCTGTATTTAGCCCCCCCGCCCCCCAGAAGCCTCAATGAGACAAGACGTTTAAATAAAGACATTGAAGGGGGTGAAGGGTCTGGCCAGATAAATACCCAGGGAATGAGCATTGCAGGTAGAGCGCCCAGCCAGAGCAAGCCAGGAGCAGGGATGCATGGTGGAGGGTGCACAGGGAAGTGGGGAGAGCCATGAAGAGGCGTCCCACTCTGTAAAGGATGTGACTTCTCTCTGAGTGACATGGGACTCACTGCAGGCTCTTGAGCAGATCACCCTGATCTGACTTAGCTTGTAAAAGGCTTCCTCTCTGGCTCTGTGGTGGACGGAAGGAGGGAGAAGGGGAGGGAAGAAGGAGGGGGGAGTTGGGGATGAGCAAGCAGCAGGTGCAGCAGTGACGAGGCTGTGGTGACAATCCAGGCAAGGGAGGTGGTAGCTTGCACCGGGGTGCTGGTAGGGGTCAATTTCGAATTTCTCTTTTCTTTTCCTTCCTTCCTTCCTTCCTTCCTCCCTTCCTTCCTTCCTTCCTTTTCTTTCTTTTCCTTTCTTCCCCACCGCCCCCAGCTTCCTTGAGATATAATCAATGATATAAATCATATCGTGTACATTAAAAGTGTACAAGGTGTTGATTGGATACATTTGTGTTTTGCAACATGATTGGCACTCTAGCCTTAGCTGATGCCTCCATCTCTTCACATTATCATGTCTTTCTTCGCTGTGGCACTTTTTTAAAGTTTATTTATTTTGAGAGAGTGTGCGGGCACCAGCGGAGCAGGGGCAGAAAGAGAGAGCGGGGGACAGAGGAGCTGAGGGTAGCTCTGCACCATGAGCACGGAGCCCAACGTGGGCCTTGAACTCACAGACTGTGAGATCATACCCTGAGTGGAAGTCAAGAGGAGGAAGATCAAACGACAGCCAGCCAGGCGCACCTATATGTTTTTCATTTTAAACGTATCACACCTATCCAGAAACATGCAGAAACCAAAGGTTAGAGCGTAGAATGTTCCAATGGAATGTGACCAGCCTCCAGAAGCCCCCTCAAGATCTCTCCAAGTGCCCCCATTTCCCTCCACCCCCCATCCTTTCTGTTAATACGGTGGATTGCTCTGGCCTGTTCTCCATGGAAGAGGGAGGCTCTCTGTGTCTGTTGAGTAGAGCCCAGGGGATCCCCCAGCGATTGCATGTGGGGGCGGGGAAGCTTGGAAGTTAGGAAGGACTCCGGGTGCTGAGCATCTGGATGGGCGGCCCTGTCGCGAGGTGGGGAGAGCGGCAGAAGGGGCCCCACCTGCGGGCA